CCCCCCAGGGGGGATGGTCACGCCGCAATCCCTTCTCCTCCATTCTCCTCTCGGGATCTTGGGCACGCACGCACACGCGCCCGGCGTGAGTTTTAAGCCACTGGGTCCAGGACGCGAACCGCGATCGACTACGTGGGAGTCCAGTGACATAGCCATTACACTAACTGCTGGTTCCCAACAGTCGGTATATGTTAAGGTGAGACATACAATGTCTCTTTCATAGCCTGACTTGCTTCACTCGGCAACAGATCTTCCATATTTATCCACTTTCTATCAAATTCTAGGGCCTTGTTGTTTTTTATAGCTGAATAGTATTCCATGGAGTACATGTGCCACACTTTTCCAATCCATTCATCCGTTTGTGGACATTTGGGCTGGTTCCATGTCTTAGCAATCGTGAATAAGGCTGCAATGAATATAGATGTGCAAGCGCTTTTCCGACTGAGTGCTCTCCTGTCCTTTGGGTAGATACCCAGGAGTGGAATTGCGGGTTCATATCGTAGTTCTATTTGAAGGCCTTTGAGGAACCTCTGCATTGTTTCCACCCACAGTGGTTGGACCAATTTACAATCCCACCAACAGTGTAGGAGTGTTCCCCTTTCATTGCATCCCCTCCAGCCCTTATCATTTTTTTTTTTTAATCTTCGCCATTCTGACTGGGATTAGATGGTATCTTATTGTGGTTTTGACCTGCATCTCCCTTATAATGAGGGATATTGAACATTTCTAAATATGCTTTTGGGCTGTTCATATGTCTTCCTTAGAGAGTTGTTTATTCAGCTCATTTTCCCATCCTTTAATTGGGTTTATCTTTTTTTCCAGGTAAAGTGCTTGAGTTCCTTTTATTTATTTTTTTTAAACAAATTACTGGCACCAGCAGGTTGAGTAGTAGATTCCCATTAGGATTTTGGGCACAGACCCAGTAGTTTTTCAAGCCACTAGGGTCAGGATTCAAGCCATGGTCATCCACATGGGATCAGACTTCCTATGCAGTATTTAACTATCATGCTACCAGGCTGGCCCACCGCATACTCCTTTTCTGTTTGCTTTTGCTCTCTGAGTCCTGATGATCTTTGTGTCTGTTCAGTCAGTGCTCTAAAACACGGATGGGGTACGGACGGTACAGTAAAACATGATGCTCTGTGGGGCTGACCCACTGAAATGGTTCTAGGTTTGTATCCAGAAATCTTCCCAGACATTTGTGCCCATGATCCAGAGATAGATAAGCCTGGGGGTGTCAAGGCCCTGCTGAGGGTATAGTTTTTCTCTCTCTCTCACTCATAGAAGAAATAAGTAAATAAACTTTTTTAAAAAGAAAAAAATTATAGAACACTTATGGGAGGCCTGAGTGTAAGGCTCCCCTCTTTTGGCATCTTCTGGTATTGGATGATTACATGGCAGGCAGGACAGCTTTTGCCCTGTAGGGGGGTCTCTTCTTATATTCCCATATTCTGACTTCTTCTTGCTGGCCATGCAGTCTACCCTGAGAAAACTTCTCCAGTCTCTCAGATTGGATACAGTGAGAGGATAAGAATTCCAAGCCAAGTAATACACAGACTTTCATTTCATATTTTTTCAGCCTTTTGTGTTACTATTTCCTCAACTGTGGCTGGTATCTCAGAGATGGAGCCTCGTTAGTTAGGAGAAATGTTCAAAGTCATTTTTTTTTTTTTTTATTTTTGCCACAGGCGATGTGTGTTCACTATAAAGAGACACAGAGAAAGAATGTAATAAATCATCCCCTAGAAGGATGTGGCCACACCACAATCTCCTCCCTTCTATTCTCCTCTTGGGATTTTGGGCACACACACACACAAACACATGCCCGTGATTTTCAAGCCACTGGGTCTGGGACTCAAACCACAGCTGATCAAGCGGGAATCAGTGGGATGGTAGGTTGAGTGGTGAAGGAGGTGCTTTCACCTCTCACTCCTTATTAGTCTCTCTCAGCATATAGACACTCCCGCCCCCCCCCAAAAATAAATAAATAAAGGAAAAGAAAAAGAAATAGTTCAACGCATACCCCAAAAGTGAAAAAAGAAAATGATTCATACCAAAGCTT